CTTCGCAGCCACCGATTGATCGGCGGCATCTATAAACTCCTCATAAGAGCGCTCATTATCGGAAAGGGGTATGTTGATATCCATTTTTTTGTTAGCTTTTTCCTTGTATCGAGACATAATTGGGCTAGGGAAAGGTGAGGAAAGAAAGGGGATGAAGATGATGTATGGAAAGGGAGGGTTCTAAGATTTTAAGGAGGTAAGGAGGAAGTTGAAACGAGGGAAAACCGTGGGGAGTCGGGTTATGCGATGGTGGGGATTAAATAGGAAAAATTAAGGGGCAACTTGAGATATGGCAAAAAAAATTTAGGAAAATACGCAAACTAGCAAGCATGTTTTGGTTTTTCAAATATAGCAAAATATTTTAAAAAAATGGAGGCCCAAGTGAGTCAATCTCAAAATTACCCTTAATTTATCCAAAAAACACGGAGGTCCAGTAGCCTAGACGTGTGGGATGTTGGGTTCAATTTCCCTCAGTTTTTCATAGATTTACATGTCTGATACATACTTGATATACCAATAACTTACCATTGATATACCACTAATGTACCACTGATATAAGTATGATATCTACTAATATAATTTCTTATATGTCTATATGATTTACTATTTATTGATTTACCATTGATATATATGTCTGATACATACTTGATAAACCTCATATACACAACTGATATACAACTGATATACCAGTGACATACCACTAATATAACTACATATCTACTGATATAACTTTTTATATGATTATATGATTTACCGTTTATTGATTTACCACTGATACATATTTGATAAACCTTTTATATACTACTGATGTACTACTGATATACAATTGATTTACTTCTTATATGATTATATGTTTTACCATTGATATATCGCTAATATATGTCAGATATATACTTGATATACCTTTGATTTACCACTGATATAACTTTTTATATGATCATATGATTTCTCATTTAATTGATTTACTACTGATATACCACTAATACATAACTCATGTATACTTGATATATGTTTGATGTACTATTGATATACAATTGATACAATTCTGATATAATTAGAATATCTACTGGTATAACTTGTGATATGATTTTATGATATGCCATTGATTTAACTATTGATATACGTATGATATATCCTCGGTATACCTCTGTTTTACTGTTGATATTTCTCTGATATAACTATGATATCTATAGATAAAGCATTAATGCCCAGAAAATTTCTCTTTCGATAAACTTAGAGCACAAATCTGATAAGTTCTAAATTTGATATCAGTTATAGTAACTAATCAATATCAATATAACATAAATAGTAGTGATAATCAATCAACCTAGATGATATTGGTATATCGATGCCAATTGGAGGCTGTGTGTGCATTTTGTTGGATGTTGGTCTAATGGGGACATAATTTCTTGTTTGAGTATGGTGATGATTAAGGACAAATCCTCAATTGGTTCTTCATCCTGATATTGGTCCAAGAGGGACAAAATTTGGTCGTATGATCTTTAGCGTTTCAATTCCTCGCCTTCTTCACTTATCATGTGTTCATGAATTTGAGTATCATTGTTTTGCTTTGAGACCTTTTCAAATAGATCGATTTAGATAGGCACAGGATGTATGTGCAAAGGTGAATAGAATAAAAAATGAAGAGAGAGTGTGGAGGATGAAAAGCCTAAAACAGAGGGAGCCAACAAAAAACATAGAGTTGTGGTCAAAATTTAATGGAAAATTGAAGCCCGTGGATATTTTATTGCATTTGAATGTGGTCAACACAATAAAAAATGCCCAACGACTTATATAAAGTTTATATTGAAATCAAGAAATAGAAGTGATAAACTACAATTTAAAACTCTGAAATTTTGAAAAATTGAACCATATATTGTGAATCAGAATTCCAGCCAAAAAGAAGAATCTCAACTTTCACAAATCTGCTGAAGATGGCGAACTAGAAAGAAATAAAACCCAAATGCGAATGACAAAGAAGAAGATTTGTTGAAGAAGAATCAATTAAACGAAGGAGAATTGTGCGAGATCTACTGAAGACCCGAAAGAAGATGAAATTAAATGAAGAAGAATCGATTGTGAGTAAAGAAGAACCTGAAAGCTGATGTTGCGAAAGAAAATAAAAAAGCGCGTGAAGAAGAGACTGCAAAGAATGGCCTAAATGCGAATAAAGAGATTGCAATGAGATCTGGAACAAAGGGTAAAATTGGAATTAAAATATAATAATTATGATATTTTGCTATATTGGCAAATTCAAAAAGAGGGTGACATTTGTTTAAATATGACAGAATTTTGCCACCGAATACAATTTCCCAAAATTTAAATCCAGTTCCACGATTTACCGACTTACCATTTAACCCGATTAAATTTCAGTTAACAAGTTTTTAATTTGAAATTCAAAATTAAAAAAGTTACCTCCTTTACGAATTATTTACCACCCCTTTCTCTTATCTTACCGACATGCCTTAACGAGCAATGTGTTGCTAAGCATGCCTTCTTCCAACCATTTTTGTCCAATTCGCTGCCTGGCGACGTTCTCTATTTGTACTTGGCCGTGTCGGAAAATTCGGTGAGCTCAGTACTTATCAG